CCTCTGTCGCGGATGCGACACGGTGGCCCGCTGGGCGCACCGCGCGCCCCGGCCCACTTGCGCTCGGTTGCCAACGCGCTCCAGCGCCATTGGCCCCGCCTCCCTGCGGTCGAGGCCAGTTAGTCGGCGCTACGCGCTCCGTCCTAGCGGCGGTGCTCGTAGGAGCTGGCCACCGGTGGCAGGTCGGTGTTCACCGGGCAACGCGATGAGGCCAGCTAAGGCGAAGGGGCACGTCGCTCCGTAGTCCATGTTGGCGGAGCGCCTGTCATCCCAAAGCCGGTCGTGTCCTTCCCCTGCTCCCCGTCTGGGAGCAGCCCTTACAACACCCCAGATAGGACACGTCGGCCGCATGGAGCCCCCAGAAGAAGCCGAGCCAACGTGGGGGTCTAATACGTCGAGTCAGCTGGTGGGGCTCACCTCTGAGAGAGGTGACCCCGGGAGTTCGAGGAGTATGGTGAGTTATTACGTCATAATAAATGTTAGTAAATATAATTGTGTGTTTCTATGTATTATATGTGGGCTTACCCTAATTATATCGGTCTGTTGTGTGTCACTCGGGTTTAGTAGGGCTGTTTACCTAGGTCAGCCCGTCGGCCACTAGTGAGTAGGTTGAGCTGCCGACGGGCGCCCCCTGTGTCCCCGGGGGGAAGTTGGGTCCGCTCCTCCTGGTGGGCGCTCAGGAGGCAGCGTGGTGGGCTGATGGGCAGCTCGGCGGGAGGTCGAGTGTCGGGGAGCATACACACACCGTTCGCGACAGACCGCGCTCTCTAAGACAAAGGGGAAGAGTGTATGAAATGATTTTTGGTATGCCTCACCGTCATATGCATTGACGGAGGGTTAGTTCCAACTTTAAATTGCTTGCGAAACTGCCCGGAGCATCAACGTGCCTCCTCCGAAATTCTCTCGAGAACCTGAGCGCTTCACTCCCACCAAGCCCCTCGGTTGTTACGGAATCTATCTGGTCCATGAAGATCGAATCTTTTCATAAGCTAAGACTACTTAAGAAGAACCTAAAAATGGTTTGCTTGAAAAAACAAAAAATTCGACATACCATGTCGTATCTCTGTGTCCTACCCCATGTTGAAATATTTTTACTAGCAGACTACAATCCGGCTAACGTGTACTGAGCCTTGAAGTGAGCAGCTTTTCTCAGTGTCTATGAGTGGTGATTCATTTGAGCAGATGAGGCGCTGAATGGTCGTTCTCAAGGTTGGTAAACGCATCTGAGCTCGGACGGGCAACAAGAATTCGACTGGATGCGGGCTACTGTTTAGTTGTTCTGAGCACTCAAGGATTGTGAGTGGTTCGCAGTGTGCTGAGTGTAATTATCAAGGTTCCGGATGAACCTTCAGTGCATGAACGAGAACGAATAATGTCGTGCGATTCTCGATCGAACGGTCCAGTTGTCATCCAGAGCCTTATTTTGAATGTCCTATTTTCAAGAAAAGCCAATCTATTCCCACGAATCAGACCGTCGACAACGAATCAACACGGCAAGTTCGGATCAAAAAACGGTGGAATTTTCTGCACCGAAATCCGATCTACCGCAAGTGTCCACATACTTTTGGAAGAAAGAAGAAGTTAAATACCGAAGGTTTCTTTTAAGAAAGCGAGAGGAGTTACCTGGAGACAGTATCGACTTCAAGGATAGGGACTGAGAAGGTTTCATAACACTAAACGCTCTAGTTACCTAATACGTGAATTTCAAGGTGTCCACATTTTTTGAAACGCACTGCATATGTGCTTATGCGGTTGTGTGTGGGTGGCACACAACAAATGTGGTCTAAGAAAAGTTCCAAATACAATCCCTACCCCTGATGCTTCGCTAAAGATAGGGTAGGGAGACAATGATAATACGCTATGTCACACTCGTTTACATTCATTATGGTGCAGTTGTGAACGAAGTTGTATTTTCCTATTATTTTCCCTTTTTTTGAATTTCTCAATTCTTGGAAATTAGTGTTACACCTCCTGTTTCTTATCTTATTTTTGTCTATTTAATTATTTAATTTGTTTTTGATGTTGTTGTATCAGAGTTGTCATATCTTTGTAGCTTTGTTTTTTTGAGGCCAGTCTCTCTTGTAGCTTTTTTTGTATTCTTTTAGTCATTCTTTATATGGTATATCTATTTATTTTGTTTCTTTTATATCACTCATTTTCTAGCATTATCTGTCTATCTCCTTATCTTAGTGGATCTTGTCTTTCTTTCTCTCAATTCGTTATTTTATAGTTTCTTTCCTATATCTTTCTATCATTATATATTTTCTATCTACTACTTTAGTATATAATGCATGTTGTGGTGGTTGATTTCAATTGTGTTGCCTGTAGTTATATCTATCTATATTTTTCACTTGTCTAATGATAATTTGCTTAGTTATCTAGTATTCTTTAAAGGTTATGTTTATTCTCTTTTTTTTTATTTCTTGTCATCTTTTGTTCTTATTATTCTTTCATGTATAGTCTCTCATATATTTCTGAGTTCTTTGTCGTCATTTTCCTATTTTATTTCTCTCTGCTCTCTTTTTGTTCATTCCTTATTTGTCGGATAGCTATTATGTCTTTTGTTTTAATTTATATTTGTTTGTATTTGGAATTTTTCTCTGTTTTTTTTAATCTTGCAATTTTTCTTGTTTGTCTATTCTTTTGTTTTGCAATCCTGTATATGGTATTTTTTTTTTTTTGACCTTGGTCCAAATACAACATACACAAGTTCTATCAGCACTGAATCGAATTCCCGAAATAGACAAACTCACTAATAGGAAAATACAACTTCGTTCATAACTGCACCATATTGAATGTAAACGAGTGTGACATGACGTATTATTGTCCTACCCTATCTCTAGCGAAACTTCAGGAGTAGGGATTGTATTTGGAAATTTTCCTAGACCACATTTGTTCGTGTGCCACCCACACACAACCACATAAGCACATATGCAGTGCGTTTCAAAAAATGTGGACACCTTGAAAATTCACGTTTGAAAGGGAACTAAGAGGTTCGTGTTATGAAATCCTTCTCAATCGATTCCTCGTAGTCGATAACTTTTCTATGTAACTATCACCTCGCTTTCTTGAAAAAACTGAACTTCAGGACAGGACTGAACTTCTTTCTTTGTTTCAAAAGTATGTGGACACTTGAAGAAGATCAGATTTTGGCGCCGAATTTTCCACCGATTTCAATCCGACTTTGCTGTTTTCATTTCGTCATCATGTCAATTCGCGCCATACTTCTTCCTGAAGATGAGCAAGCTCAGATCAAGGTTCTGCATGATAATGAACGTTCCAATCTAGAAATCGCACGATAACTTGGTCGTTCTCCTTAATGCATTCGAAGATTTATCCGGCACCCTGATAATTATACTCAGCACACACTCCGCTCCATCCACGATCCTTGACTGCTCAGAACAACAAAAGAGTAGCCCACATCCTGTCGAATTCTTCATTGACAGTCCGAGCTCAGATTTTTATTCCAGCCTCGAAAATGACCACTAAGCCCCTCATCCGCTCAAATGAATACACCACTCGACAGACGCTGAGAAAGGCTACTCACTTCAAGGCCCAGCACAAGTTAGCCACATTGGAGTCTGCTCGTACAGACATGGCAACATAGGATAGGACACCGGGCGAAGACACGGTTTTTCGAATTTTTTGTTTTCAAAACAAACATTTTTAGGTTCTTCTTAGTAATCTTAGCT